CTCAGTGCTCTGAGCTTCACTTTCCTTATTCTTAAAATGGGATGCTAGTGTCCACCCTGCCAACCTCAAAGGAGAACTATAGTGCCCAGGTGAGATGTTGTATTGAGAAATTGTTTTGAAAATGAAGATCTAGCAATATCAAATATGGCCCTACTGGTACCGAACGCCGCAGCATGCTTGAGCTGGGCTTGGGGAGGGATGGCAGCAGGGTGTTTCCCTGGCCCCATGGTATGAGCTCGGCTTGCCCCACCGTTGAGACTTGAACTTATGAAAGTGTTTTGAAAGCTATAAAGCCCTATATAAGGATCCTTTTATTATAAATGAGAGCGGAGGTGGCAGAGGGAGCCCCGTGTATGCCAAACTGATGGGGAGCTTCGGTTTACTCGGCTGGAGGAAATACAAGTGGTGCGACAGACCTGCACTCACGCAGGCTTCTGTAATTGCTACTTGTCAAACCTGCACAGTTGCCTGAAAAGAAGGACCTCAAACGGAAATAACAGAGACCACAGCGATGGCTATTTCTTTAACCGTCTGATGCAAGCGAAATAACCAGGAGAAACCTTGGAGAAGGTCCTGTGGGAGTTCTTCTACTTCTCAAAGGGCCTTCTTGGTAAGTCTTCATGATGAGGGAAAGGCGTTCCTTTGCAGCCTTTAGGGGCTTGTTTCTAATCGTCCCCCACCACGCTTCCCCGCCTCCCACTCACCGCCCCCCGCCCGTGTTTCTGTCGCAGGAAGTGACTCTTCCTCCAGAAACGGAGAGTCTGGATTCTGAAGACTGGACCAGGAAGGAATTCATTCCAGAAATGCTCCTGGTGCCTCCAGCACTTTGCTTTTTATTTCTTCATTTTCTGTCCTTTGTGCAGAGGGCTGCCTATGAGTCATACATTTGGGTGTTGAGGATTGCGAGTTAATTTGCACATTTTTGCCTAATAACCAGAAACTGGCAGACCCAGCCCTGGGGCCTGGGTGACTGGGAAATGCTTCAAGGGTGAATGATCCATTGTCCCTCATCTGAGGGCTCTTGGGACATGGGCCTTTTCTCCTGAAGGAGAGGAAGCAGGCAAAGGGAGAAATGAGGAGCCTAAATTTGGGTTTTCTGGTTATTCCATGGGCCTGAGGCACAGAAGCTTAGCCTGCCCTCCTAGGGGCTTGTTAGCTCAATGCCCATCTGAACACAGAGCCACGCCCAGACTTGCATGGGCCTTACCTGCCTTTGAAAGAACAGAGAGGCTGCTTTTTTCCTTTCCATCAAAATGTCCATGAGAGGCCCTGGCCGAGTAGCTCAGCTGATTAGAGCATCGTCCTGATACACCAAGATTTCATGTTCAATCTCCGGTCAGGGTATATACAAGAATCAACTAATGAATGCATAAATAAATGGAATGACAAATTGATGTTTCTTTCTTTCTCTCTCTCTCAAATAAATAAATATAAAAATTTAAAAATATATATCTGGGATTTCTCAGTTGAGGAAAGGAAGTGTTTCTGTTTAGGTTAAGAGGCATACATCTTGTTCTAAATTCATCCTTTCTGCAAATATGCCAAGTGCCTATTACATACCAGATTGCATTGTAGGTGCTTTATTAGCTTAATCTGTTTTTTTTTTTAAAGGAATTGCAACAACTACTCTAATTTAGGCTTAAAGGAACTAGAAAAATAAAACCAGTGCTTCGTCTCATGTACTTACAGAACAGCCAGTGTTGGGTATTCAAAATTAATCACTGAGGAAGTTCCCAGGGTTTGATTTCTGCAATATTTTTTTCTCATGTTCCTTTCCTTTCCTTAAAGAACATGAAGAGGAGTTAGTGTTTTGAAGGTAAATATAGAAACCCGAGAATGAAGAGTGATGAGAGTGACGGTGCCTGTTTCCTTCAGTGTAATGACAGTCGTCTCCACTCCCCGCCCCTCATAGTCACACACAGGTATGTCGGTTGGTGACCGTCCCTGTTCTGGGGTGAGCAGGAGGCATTTTTATTTATTTATTTATTTATTTATTTATTTATTTATTTATTTATTTATTTATTATTTGAGTGGGCGGCTCTCTGAGAGGGAGACTCCAACTGCCTGCTGAGCAGAGCCGGACACCAAGCAGAGCACCTTCTGGTGGAAACAATGTCTAAACATAAAGGCAGCAGAAAGCGCCAGAAAATCCATTCAGTGTCCTGAATAGTAATGGGTCATGTTGCATTCAGTAATTAACAAGTAAAAAAGAAGCCAAGACTTCTGGAGCACTTACTGAGTGCATTGCTTGGCTCCACACACTAGAATGTTTAGTCTTCACAAAGACTGATGGGGGAGGTGGTATTATTTTCATCACTTCCATTTAACCAGTGCTGAAGGGGAGCAGGGACACCGAGTAACTTGTGTTAAGGTCACGGAGGTGGTGGGTGGCCACACCAGCATTCAATGCAGGCCTGGTGGCATCAGAGCCCACGTGATCACCTGCCACCCACACATGCTGGCTCTGAGAACCGGCCGCCTGGGCTCTCCCGCTCTCTGTGTGGTCATGGGCAAGTTGATCTTGGCTTTCACGGCCCTCGGTTTTCCCTTTGTAAAATTAAGGGGTTGTGAAATTGGACAAGAGAACCGTTCTTGTAGCCTGAGATCAATAGACAAGAAAGCATCAGGTAACAGCTTCTAAGGTGTGTGGCCCAAAGGACTTGGAGCTTAGTAAATGTGAACTGCCACCCCCCACCCCCCACCCCATCATCTTCACATCATGGGACAAAGGTAAATAGACCAGGGCCTTTGTCAGTAAGCTTTGCTAAGGCCCAGTTTTGTTAGTTTTGGTTCCACCTTCCCAGTGATGAGGCCTGAGTGCTGTCTCTGGAGGCAGAAGGAAGAGCAAAGGTAGTTGGGAAGGTTTTGCTCAGTCCATGGAGGGCTTGGGGGAGAAGAAGCCCAAGGAACAGCAGTCTGGAGAAAGAAGAGGGTGGGCCCTGGGGCAGGCTGCCCTTTGGCATTGAGGAGAGGCTCTTGGAAGTACTGTTCTTTGAGAGAGGGGAGTAAAGGCAGAGGGCACTTGACCCACTGCATCTGAGTTTACTGAGAGCAGCGTATCTGTAAATTCAAAATGGGATCTAAACTGTGGGCTGTAGGGTGTATCGATGGAGGAGAAACTGTATCTGTACTTTTTTTTTTTGAGGATTTTCAGACTTTTCTCAGCTGGACGTGGTGACATAGGGAGTCTCATATTACACATTTTAGACATTCCATCTGATCTCATAGTGGTAACAGTCAGTTTCTGGGGCGGGGGGACTCAAAAAACAAAACAACAACAACAACAACAAAAAAGCTTTGAAGAGGAAAGACTGACGTTGGAAAGGAAAATTCTAACCCAAGCAAGACTGGGACTGTATGATGAAATGTTATTGGCCTATATTCAGTTATTTCTTTTTTAGTGCTTTTAGCTTTGTGGGAAGCTGTGGGCATGATTGAGCTATCTCCAGGGACCAAATGTAAAAATGCTTTATGAACATCAGAAAAATCGTCCCCCAAAGAACTTCTCTTTGGTTTTTGCAATTCATGTAAGAATTCTCTCTTTCCTCCCCCACCTCCCTTCTCTCCAGCCTCCTCATGGCCAATGAAGTAATCAATTGTCCTCCATTCAAGAAGATAAACAGCACAGAGGCCTGGCCTTGGGGTTCTGTCAAGCTTTATGGAGAGGGCTCCCAAATCTTCACTGGAGTGGGGGAGTGGGGATGTGAAGGAGACAGCAACAATGAGGACATTTTCAATCTCCTAGGGTGTGTAAATAAATAGAAGATAAGCTCACAGTTTCAAGAGCCAAGAGTGTGTCTCTGAAGTCATCACTGTGCATATTTTTGAGGCTCTCAAGCCTGAGCCGCCTCTGTTTAAGCTACAGTCTCTGCCCATATTAAACTGTGGCCATGCGGTTCTGGCGCCACCCCATGGCACACAGAGAATAACAGCAGATGGGAATTCAAAGACCTGAGTCTGGGGGCTGTCTGGACTACTGTACTTCCTACTGTGTGACATTGGTTCATTTACCCAATGCTGCCTGGCACACACTAGGTGCTTAATGAGTATGGACCAAATGAATAAATGAACAAGCAAGCCACCTGCCTGTGCCTTGGTTTCCTCATCTGGGAAATGGGGACATAATACTTCCCCAACAGGCTGTGATCATGTAGATCAAACTGTTTCCTTGAAGAGCTTCTCACACTTGCTTTGATTTCACATGCATAACCCGGGGAGCCGCTCAAATACAGATTCCAATCCAGAGGCCTGGAGTGGGTGGGCCTGAGTTCTGCGTTTCCAAAGGGCCCCCAGGGATACCTATGTGGACCACATTTTGAATAGCTAGGTCCAAGACTCTAAAATGCTTGGAATTATTAACACTATCTCCAGCCAGTGGGGTCAGGATGAACTGCAAGGTCTAATTGTCCTAGTGTTCCATGGTTCAGGGGTTCAGTGTTAGAGCCAGGAAAGTGCTGGGCAAACCAGAACAAGTTGATCACCCCACGAGAATAGGGGAAAAGAAAGGAATACTTTGCTTTGGTCTGAGCTGCTGTGTGAACCAAAAATAAAATAACGCAAAAACAAACAGGTGAGGCTATTTGGTAAGGAGAAGAATATATTCCCACCTTAGATCAATTGGTTTTCTCACCCCCTTATGTCACAGAGGCCCAGAGATGGTGGGTGACTTGGCTCACAACACATAGCTCCTCAGGGGCAGGGCTGGGGCTATGGGTCCTGCTTCTGACTCCCTGCGTAGCCGGGCGCCTTCCCCACCAGTCCAGGTTGCCTTCTCCAACACATTCCTCTTTATTTGGCAAACATAGTGTGTTTATTTATAATTGGCTTGTTTGGAGACTGAAATTTGGCACAGCTGATTTTGGTTGTGAGAGTTCATATTTTTCCTCTGTTTTGGTTTGCTTAACTTTGTTTGAGAGGGAAAAAAAAAAAACCCCCGAAGTAATAAAAACACAATGAGGCTGCTAAAGTGGTTCAAATGCAAAGCTTCCAGACTTGTGGAAGGATCAACTTATATAGATTTATTTTGTAACTCAAGATAGTAGGTTAGAAGCCTGTGAGGTTTACTTCCAGGGATTTACAAACCTCAAATAAATAGCTGGGGCCTACCTCTTTCCCGGTTGCTTCTTCTGGAGGTGGGACTGAGAGGCACCCCGCTGAGTAGATTGCTGGAGGCTGTTCCTATGCTCCTTAGTGAAGGTCGTTAGAGAAGATATCTCTTCTCAGGACTAAGGTATGTATGGCAAGTGCAGAGTGTCACTCCAAAACCTTTGTAGTTTACCTTGCACAAAACAGGTATTAAAAGAATGTTGCCTTTTATTATTAACACTTGAGAACCCATGCATAGAATTCACACTAAGTAAGTGAGCACATTGCATTTAGGAGAGCCAGGGTGCCCTGAATCGCCAGATCCTTCTAATTGTACTGTAAATTCAGGTAGGTTTTTGTTGGGAGGAGGGGAACAGGGATGAACAGAGAGAAAGAGAGAGAGATTGGGTGCATTTTATTTGCGACTCTACCTGGTGTCGCTTCCCAAGGCCAGGGAGTCTGCAAGCAGTCCCAGTCAGTGCTCTGAGAAAATCTGTTACCTGTTCCAGGACCCGGGGAAGAGCAGAGTGTCAGCCCTGCACACAACCAGATGAGTGATTAGCTCAAGTGGCGGACACTCTGCTTTTCAGGTAGTGTGGTTGGCTGGCAGCTTTTGCCACCGTCTTAATTTAACTAACCAAGCTACAGGCTGAGCACACTACAGGTTCATCCAATGTTTTTAGCCATAATGTGCACATGTGTGTATACATATAGATGCCTAAATATATATATATATATACACACACACTGGGATACATTACACAGGGAAGCTATGGTAAAACACAACCATTTCAAAAATTGTTTCCATGGGCCCATCAGTAATCTCTCAGACAAAAGGACATTTAAACTTCAGGCTTCAGGTTGGGACCTGGAGAAGGGGCTTCCAGAGTCAGGGGTCTGCTGGGCTGAGTGGGAGATACCTGATTATGGAGGGAGGGGGTGGGCAGTCAAACAAGGAAACCCTGTCTGCTCCCTGGGGCATTCCTGGGCGCTAAGGCTGATGGCTGAGGTCGTAGGCACTCTTGTCCTAGAAGCAGAAACCCCTGGGACCTTACTAGACAAATCCACAAATCCAAGAGCAGCCGATTAAGCGAATGTGGCTGTGCTTACAGACTGATCCAGGGTCCCCTCTCACACTTAGCCGCTTCATTCCTCTTCTTATTCCTATGTCCTTGTTGGCTCTCTTAAGAGTAGGTAACACAGAGCCTTCCTGAGGCCTTCTGATTTGTGGGTATGACAGACAGCTCCTCAAAGCCCTGTCTCACAGGGTTAAAACTTCCGGTCACAGTGATGAATGTTCGTGGACCTTAACCTCCTACCTTCCAGGGGGATCTCTGTGAGTATGCCCAGAGATGCCACGTGGGGAAGGTACCTGCCAACCACCTGCTCTCCTGGAGGCTGTATATGCCTGTGGGGCAGAGGGACCTGGAGATCCACAAGCTCTCTGTGGTTGGTCATGCACAGTATGTGAAGTGCTACTTTGCCTTCCTGGACTGCCAGCCAAACTCGGAGAGTTGACCATGAGACCTTGATGTCCTCTCCCGGTCACTCTCCACAGCTACCCAGCTAACCTGCTCTAAGCCCAGGAATCAAACTCCAGGGTCTAAGAAACGCTGATCTCCTGAGAGAGACCCTGAGGATAGCCGGGACCCAGCCTTAACTCTGTGAGTGCCTAGCTCTCTTTCTTGGGAGCACTGGACTACACATTCTGGCTTGAGACATCCAGAGACTCTTAATGTCCGGAGGCCTCTCTTAATGACACATCTTTAGTTCTTTTTGTTGTAAACAAACCAGGCAACCTGCTGCCAGACACCTCCACTGCCCTCCCCGCTGTCGTCCCAGGGGTTAGCCAGGCTCCTCTACCCCAGCCACCATGGCACCTGGCACTTTTTCTTCACCTGTGGCCTCAGCGCGGCACCGCCCCTTTCTCTGATCTCCCTGTTCCTTCCGTTCAGGAATCCAGAACAGCTGGCAGAGCTCCCACTGGGAAGAGGTGTGCTGGGTTTGGGAGTGGGGCAAATGGTGCTGTGCATGGCATTTGGCCACAACAGAAACCGTCCCACTGGCCAATTAGACACGTAAAGTTCATAGATGCTTTGCTGGCCAGGCAAGAGCAAAAGTCACCCTCCTGCCGGCCAGGAGCGCTGGGAGCCCAGGTCACTTCGGGGCCTGGCTGTGCTTCTCTCAGTAAGACAGCCCTGTTACAGACCCTCTGTCCCTCAGAAATTTGAAAAGAACCCTATTCACTCTGTGGCACTATCTTTTTTCTTTCTCAAATTCCGACCCTCCCCTTAGCTCTCCCCATAGCTCTCTGGTTTTGAGGTCCAGCAAGTTTCCTACTTTGATTGTCATTAGCGTCCTTACCATGGATACACCATGGAGTGTCAAGAAGACCACCGTCAAGTGTGTGGCTGTGTCTGGTTATTTGTGGGCTCCTGAACCCTGCCCCCCTCAGGAGGCCAGGTATTTAACTTGTTCCTTTGCAGCATCTCCAGTGACATGCATGAAAGGCTGTGACTAAGTGAAGACTATGATTTACCATTTATTTACTGCTGATATTTTTTACTTTGGATGAGGGTGAGCTATAGATTTTCATTTTAATGGCTCTGCAGAAGCAGCTCCAACTCATCTCTGGGACAGAATTCCCTTAAAACCAGCTTACGTTTGGGAGCCTAAAAGCTCTGCTCCCAAAACTTCCAGCCGAGCTGGGAAGATGGAAGCAATTTTCCAGATCAAGATTTTACACAGAAGGTCCCTCCTTCCTGTGTAAGTGTCCTCTGTCCCAGCTGTTCTAGTGGCTTTGATTCTCAACACATGCCTACTGAAGTTCCCTGCTGGATATGTCTCCATAAACCACCCTGTTTCTCTCTAATGGTGATGAAAATACAGCTTGGAGGAGGAAAAATAGTAATCAGGAAAGCTCTGCCTTGGGTGGTCCTTACTGGCACTGACAGAGGAAAAAGGCCAGTGAACACAATGGACACCAAACGTGCCACTGGAATAAACAGCCCCTGATGGCTTGGCCAGCCGAGGCTGGACCACAGCTGAGGTAAACGGGCTGCACCCACGTCCGATGCAGAAGTGCTGGTTCTCAGCAGAAAGGGCAAGTTGAGAGAGCGAAGCCTAAAATTGCCATTTTCCCCACAAGTTCTTTCCTCTCCTTTGGTTTTCCTCCATTTGGCAGCTTGACAAAGGCTGTAGAGCAGCTGTACCTGTCTTTAGCAGATGGCCAGAACTCCTTCCCCAGATATCCAGAGTCACAGAAGCAGGGGCTGAATGCGCCGAATCCATAGCCGCGAGGACCAGCTCTTGAGTCTATGGACCCTGGAATGCGGCGGCCCCAACTGAGAGCTCAGTTCTCTTGTGTCATGCGCAGGGGTATTAGGTGACCAGAAGCAGAGCATCTGGTCATCTCTAGGTGGGAGGGGACCTCTGGGGCAGCTACTGAGTAGACCATTGAGAACCCCAGAAAAGGAGACCCCATGTATCAACAGAAGATGAAATTAGGTTATTGTTCATTAAAAAACTCAATGTGGTTGCTTTTTTGCCCTTGCTTCAATATTGGGGTGTGATGGCCACATTGTAGCTCTGGCACATCAAACCACCGTCCCATCTTCCCAGCCAGGGTGTGTTCAGAGGAGACCAGGACAAATCACTTCTCTGCTTTGTTTCGATTCGTCTTTTTTGGGGTCCCCGGGTCTTCCGTCTCAGCCTTCCAAGGGGCGACTTGGTGCTCTCAGAACTGTTCCGCCTCCACAAAGCCCTCCTTCTCGTGGCCTGAGGGTTCGACCTCCGTGTAGGTGGAGTGGTTGGGGTGGTTGCGGAATCTCATGGCCGGCCAGTGGTGAGATCTCCGCTGCGGGGGCACAGAGCACAGTCAACAGGCATGATCTCATCCACTGGGGACCATCCCCCAGGGACAGCACTGAGTACTGAGACTCTCTTTATAAGGGCACTGGGGGCCTACGGAGCGCTGGGTGAAGCTCAGGGCCCCTCTCTCCAGAGGACTCCCCGCTGTGACCCTGCCACCACTGGGGAACCTGTGGGGACATGAGGGCTGCAGGACCCAAGGCGAGAGCTTTAGCAACATATGGAGTAGAGCCCTGAGACAGTGGAAAGCGAGAGGCTGAATGACCTGGGAGGCTCAGGGAAGGCCAAGAAAACAACAGGTTTTCTACACCAAAGTCAGCTGGGGAGCTTATGAAAATGCAGACTCTCTGGCCTGCCTCAGGCTATCAGGTTGGGGATAGATAGGAGGGAGGCTAAGGTTTAACAATGACTGGTTAGCATTCACAAGAAACAGGGGCGTCTTAACAAAAAGGACGAACCACCTGGGCCTCTGGGTAATGAGGTCACTGGGCTCATGCACCCTGTGAAGGAGACTGTGGTCACAGAGGTGCCACCACTGTGCCATGAGGAGAGCCAGTGAGCAGCCGAGAGTGGGGCTGGGACAGGAGCTGCTGAGCTGTGTGGCCCACAGTGAAGGGGGCTGGGCCTTCCTGTCACGCTGCACCTTGGGCTGGCTCTTCCAACTTCCGAGATGTGCAAAACTGTGGCATCCTCAGTGAAAGCTCCCAGGGAAAGAAACTCATTACTATTATGGTTTGTTGATTCTAATCTAAAAAACCCACAGAGCAAAGAGGCAGAGACCTTTCAGTTCCATTATGGCTTTGAATAAATGCCAGGGCTGGAGTTGGGCCATGAGAGACCATAGATCCTTAGAGATTGGCCGCACAGCCACCAAATGGACATGCGTGGCATTTTTGGCCTTCTTGCTTTGCCCTGGGGCCTGATTTCACAATCGAGGGAGCAAGAGCAGATAGGACAGTAGGGCTGGAGGAGTTCTGAGGTGCAGAGCTCTGGGGGTTGGGGACTGAAAGAGCACTAGCCAGCGTGAGAGTGTCGGGGTGCAATTGACGAAGCTTCCTGGGTGGGAACAAGAGCCAGGCCTGTGGCGGCTGAGGGATGAGATGGGGAGAAGCAGGGACCGAACGGCCAGGGAAACACTAACGCAGGGCAGAGGTGGAGCTGACCTCGATGAAGAAGAGCGCAGCATTGGAAGTGGGGTGGCCGCTGATGTAGATCCCCACCAGGACGATGGCCGCAACGAGGAGGACTGCCAGCACGATGCCCACAATGGTGCCCAGGTGCACCGGGGGGCCTTTGGTCTTGGGGGACAGGTTGTTCTGAAGGCCTGTGGAGAGAGTGTTAGGGCAGGGCAGCTGCAGGGGAGCCAGGAAGGTGAGGCCATGGAGTCCTGGGTTCTGATAAAGTCCCAGAGATGAAAGCTGACAGAGCCTTTGGTCTACTTACAAATACACAACAAGAAGGGGCTGGAGTGGGTGGAATCATGAGCACGGCATTAACATTCTTGGTATGGCTCAGGTGGTCTCTCAAAATCATTTAAAGTTGCCCTGGCTGGGTGGCTCAGTGGCTTGGAGCATCATCCCATACTCCAGGGTTGTGGGTTCAGTCCTGGCTCAAGGTGCATACTGACCAGTGAATGCAGGGATGGAACAGCAAATCAGTGTTTCTCTCTCTCTCTCTCTCTCTCAAATCAATTTTTAAAAAATTACTTAAAGTTGCCCAAATGTCGATCAACTAAGGATTATAAAAGTTCTCCCCCTCACCCATGCCACGCAAGTGTTTTTAAGGAATTCGCAAAGGTTATGTGATGGTGAAGAGTTTGGGAGCTGGAATCTGGCCACCTGGATTCAAATCTAGACCCTTCCACTTACTAGTCGTGTGATCTGGGGCAAATTATTTAACCACTCTGCGTCTCAGTTACCACTTACGTAGAACACGGATAGTAGTAACTACCTGCAGGCATTATTGTGAAGGTTAAAACGAGATAATTCTTGTCAAGTACTGAGGATCATGGCTGGCATCTTGGACGATCTCAATAAGTGTCAGGCATTATGAGAGCAAAATGACTATTTTTACCTGTCACTGTCTATAACATCAGATTGTGACCTCCTGAAGGGCAGACAGTGTTTTATTCATCTCTATGTCCTCAGTGCTTAGAGACAAAAAGGCCAACCCATCGTAGGAGCTCAATAAAAGAAATGAGCTAGGTCCTCTGCAGGCTAATAAACCAGCAGGCACTCTCTGAGAACATCCCCAGCACTTGAAATATATCCCAAGGAGAAAACTGAGTATTTCCATAGACTGTTAAGCTGGAAGCTCGTGTAGTCCCACCCTTCCTGTGCAGCTGAGGTAATGGAAATACAGAGAGGTGAAGGGATCGGCCCAAGGACAGAGTCAGTGCCAGCCACTAAGAAGCCTCACTTCCTGATACCACCTGGGCTGGCTATTTGCTCCTTCTCCCAAGAAGAAGCAAATCAAATAGAGACAGATGAGCACATGAACAACAGGAATATCTAATCTTATTTACATGGCTAGTGGGTGGGATGGGAGTCAACAGGGGATGGGGATTTTTTTTTTTAAAGATTTTATTTTTAGAGAGAAGGGAAGGGAGGGAGAGAGAGAGGGAGAGAAACATCAATGTGTGGTTGCCTCTCAAGTGCCCCCTACTGGGGACCTGGCCCACAACCCAGGCATGTGCCTTGACTGGGAATTGAATCAGTGACCCTTTGGTTCACAGGCCGACGCTCAATCCACTGAGCCACACCAGCCAGGGTCTGGGTGGGGATTTTTAAAAGGGTGTTGCATATGCATCCAAAATCATTGCCCTCCCCAACCCCTGTCCTCTGCAAGTAGAAGACACCCAGGAGAGAAATTACCCTGGGGCACTCCAGCGCACAGTCTGTACCTCTACCTGCCAACAGGTGGGAAAATTGAAGTGACACGCCCCCAAGCTGGTTTCCCCTGCCGCCTGCAGTGACCCAATCTGATGGTCAGGGCTTGGGTTGGTGAACACATGGTACAGAGAAGTGAACGCGGCCCAGCTGCACCACCCCGCTTGTGCCCACGCTTCCCAGCACACATGCACAATCACACCTGCTGCCCACAGGGGACCGAGAGCTCTGCCTCTGGGCTGCATTCATAGCCTCTTCTGCCCTGCTGGCACCCCAGACCTCCCAGGCCCTGGATTTGGAAGCACTTCTACTGGCCCTTTGCAGTGTTTGCAGCAAGCGCCTGAGCTAACTCTGGGCAAAAAGCAGGAAGGGTGGGGCCCCCTCACCTTATCAGAGAGATTGGCCTCCTGGGGAATCCTGGGGCAGGGGATCCCACCTTCTGGCACCCAATAAAAATTGTGGTGAACAACTTTTGCATACTCTCTGCCAGCCCAGGTAGGGACTCAAAGGAAAGTGGATGTGAGAGAGGCTGCCTCCACCCATCACAGTAAGGCCCGAGGGGGCAAGAGGCCGAGGGCCCCAGGCCTCACACCGCACCTCCATGCCTGCCCTCCTTTCCCTCTTGCTTTAGGGTGGTGGATATTCCAGAGCAGAGAGGCCAGGAGAACCACAGGAGGTTCCTGACTGAGATGGGAAATGTCTAGATATAGACACATGTTCCTTCAGTCCCAGGGGCCTGTGCCCAGAAGGCCCTGCCTTTCCACCCAGCAGGAGGTCTAGGATGCTCAGGCTGCTGTTGTCGCCCCTCCTCCCACTCAGAACAAAGCAGAGAGGCCAGGTGACTGACTGCTGCACCCTCTTCTGGGAGGGGGACCAAGAGGCAGTGGATCTGAAAGGAGGGGCAGGCAGCTGTGTACTCACCGTCTCCTCCTGCATAGGGATTCAGCTTGGTGTCATCTTTGGAAAGAAAGGAAAGAAGGCGGAAAATTAGTGGAATCGTATGGCCTTTGTCACTTTCAGTCTGGATGAGACTATAGGGAGGTTCAGTCCAAACCTTCATGTCAGAGGCAAGGAAACTGAAGCACAGAGAAGGAAGGTGACTTGCTCGAAGGTCACACAGCAGTGTAATGGTAGAAGGCTGAGAACAAGCCAACTTTTCCTAGTCTCATGTTCATTCGTTCAACAGATACTTATTGAGTGTCAACTGAATTGAGCACTGGGAGTAGGCACTGGGACAGACATGGCCTTTGCCAGCAGGGAGTAAACAGGTGGGATGGATGGAGGGATAATTAAAATCCAGCCTCATGAAGCTCTGATTGGGGGCCTCACAGACAAAGGGAGACAAGAAGGAGGGGTGAGTTATGGGGCTGAGGAAAGGGGTCTAGATGGAGGGAAGAGCATGGGCAAAGGTCCAGAGTCAGAAAGGACTTGGCTGGTTGAGAAATAAAAAGCAGTTGAGCGAAGCTGGGGGCGGAGAGGATGGGAGCCGGGGATGTCAAGAGCGAGGCTGCGGGCCGGGGCACGGCTGTCTGGAAACCAAGGTGAGGACCTGCCACGTTCTCCTAAGGGGCAATGAGAAGCCGAGGAAGGCTATGAGGAAGGGGTGAGTAGGTCATGAGATCAGTTTTGCCTGGAAAGCGCCCCTAGGGCACAATGCAGAGGACAGGTTTCCACACCAACACACTCTCTCCACTTCAAGGTGCATGTCCTGTGGCTTCGTAAATAGGTTCCAATGGTTGACCTTCCTGTGGTTCTTCCCCACTGTCATATGGGGAAAGGAAGGCAAGAGACTCATGCCGGCAGAATGCTCTAGATGGCTGCAGGTGACTGCTTTCCACACTGAAACTCTGAACAAATGGAACCAGCGCACAGCGTAGGGCTGCTAACAGGCACCTTGTTCCTCTTCCCCCTGCAGCACTTCCACCGTCTAGGTTATTTTCAAGGCTTCGCTGGCTCTGCTCTGTTCACAGGTGTTCAGGGCCCTTGCAATCTGCCCCCAGTCTTCTTTCCTTATGTCACTCGCCCAAGCCTGCTGCGGTGGCTGTAACAAGCTGCCCAAGGCTCTCCGACACCCTCGGCTTGCCTGTCTCTGAGCCGCTGCATGTTCCATTCCTCCCGCAGGACATGCCCTTCCTCGCCTTCACTCTCCCTCGTTCGGCAGCCCCAGCCCCGAGCTGCGCTCTGCACGAGGGGTTAGGGCTGGGATGAGCGCGAGGAAAGTGAAGCAGCGTCTGATCCTGTCTTTACTTACAATTTTGATATGTTGTTCCTTACGGAATCTTTGGCACCAATTTTGGTTTTTACAACTATTTCATTAAAGTATTATTTATCTTGATTATTGCTTTTTTGGCGGGGGGCGGGGGGTGCCTCCTGAAGCTCTTTACCTGCGTTGAGTGCCTCACTGGACTCATCCTAGTCCTGGCCCTGTCACTTCCCAGAAGACACATGGGTGTGCCCTCCTCGGTGTCCCGTTGCATTTGGTACCTATTTCTGCTGCATCTCACGTCCCACAGTTCCCTAGACGGTGAGCTCCTCAACACCCCTCCAGAATGGACACTGCAACCTGCTCTGCTCTTCATTTCCAGTAAGTCTTGAAAGGTCAAAACATCACATTAGGTGATGGAAGGATAAACCGTAAGAACATTTAAAAACTGTTCCCTATAGGGGAAAGAGGAGAGAAAACGAAAAACTGAACTTTTAAAAATATATCTGCCTTTGTAGATTTGACTTTGGATCTATGTAAATTATCATTTAACTATTATATAATTATAAAGCAATAAAAAATTTAAAAGCACCCCTAAAAACTGAAAGCAAAGCAAAACAGCAAGTTATAGATATAACAGAAAGCTGTGTTTTCTTCAGGAATTTCAATAAACAAGGTATTTAAACACACTTCTGAGTCTATTTTGTTATTGCAAGTGGAAAATAATGAATTAGTAAATCAAAACTGACCAGAGTAATCCTAAACATCACTGGGAAAATGAACTTAATTTGGATCCACTTGTTTCAAATCTAGAGCATTGAAAATCCATTGTGGCCCTGTCCACATCTACCCCTGGCGGATGGAAGGACAAGGCACCACCTCCAGCCAGTCCCTCTTACAAAGTGACTACAGGTGGCCACGCTGAGCCCACGAGAGCCTTTCTCCCACTCACCCAGGGCTGGTTCCCAGCTTCCATCTTGTTGGGGTCCATGGGATACAAATTCGTTCCCTAATTAATGAGCTGTGGTAGAGTCCCATGAAAACTCACATAATGAAGAAATGTGTGTGTTTATTGAACAAGTGGTTGTTTTTCTGTAGTTAGTTGTCACCTCTTACTGCTCTCGACATGCCCTGTTCAGCTGCTCATCAGGTGAGCCCTTCTATGGCAGCTTTGCCGCGTGAGGGCCCGTCTCGCCTTGTAGTAAAATGCACGGGCTTTGCGGCAGCTGGTTGCCACTCAGAGGTCATTCTGGTTCACTTAAGTGGGTGACATTCCACCGCAAGTGAACAACTCCTAAAATCCAGCCACTCACCTTCCAGCAGCCTGCGCCCACTAACTTCCTTGCTGCCTGACTCAGTCCTACACAGGCAGTCCCTCCGGCGGGAATGCTGCGACCCCTGCATTCACAACATCTTCTTGTACCCTGAGACAGACAGTCCCTCACCTGCCTCCACAGGCCTCCGTGTGCAGGTTGTGATCACACCGACAGGAGGGTGACTGAAACCTGTCCTGCCGCGATGTCCTAAGAACTGGGTGTGCAGAAAGTGATCACCAAAATGTTTTCTCTTACAGATGTAATGTGATCACCTTTGCCACCTCCTCCAGGACTAGAATGACAGAAAGCCACAACTGTCCTCACTCCAATTAATGTCTTCTTTGGGGGACTGCGACACAGCACACAGAGGCGAGACACATTCCTGGCTGGCAGGAGATGCACACACAATCAAACTGGCCAACAGAACGCACTGCCCTGTGTGGGGAGAGCCCACCATGGCAGGAGCTGAATAACTCAAGTCGGATTAGAAGCCGGTCCCCAGATGCTGTGTGTGGGGCTCTCCACACCCACCACAGCCACTTTCTGGCCTCTAACACGCTGTGGCTCACCCGAAGGTCACCGCTAAGTGCTGAGCTCTGAGGAGGTTCTCAATAAACACAGAGTTAACTCAGGGGTGACTGGCCAGGGTGTTCTTCCTTTTAACTGGAATTTCCTTTAATTGGAAGGTCACCTGGACTTGATTATTAACTCCCTGAGGGCAAGGTCTCCTCCTGCTCCTTTTTCATTTAATTTATTTAGTCCCTCACAGCCCCAGCGGGAAACCTGCTCTCACTCCCCGGGGCCTTGACCCGCTCCTTGCTATTCTGGGCAACTTTGGACTAATGGGAACCATGTGAATCTGCCTTGCTTGTTTGGCCTTCGCAGTTTTTCCCTCTTCCCTGAGTCCATGAAGACCTTCTATTTCTTTCAGCACTCAGGAAAGCGGTGGGATCGAGGGGCAAAATGGCTGCTTGTGGAGCCGGATGAGACCTGAGACCACATCTTCTGGGCTGTGTGACCTTGGGCAAGTCATCAACCTCTCTGAGCCTTAGTGGCTTCTCTACAAAATGGGGATAAACTAGCATCAACACACAGGACCATGAGGAAGACTGAGTATTAATGCGCGCACAACATTAGCATCTTACCTGGCACGTGGTTAGTCCCCTCCAAGTGACAGCTCTTTCACTGGTTCGCTTTCCCCTGACTACCCTCTGGGTCGCTGCTCTAGTTCTAGAATTAGTTCCCCAGTTCTCTAGGCTGCATCAGAAAGGCAAGGGCTCCACCACTTACATCCCTCATGTAACCTTTGCTGCCCTCTGAGCCCATTTTTTTATCTACAAGATGGGACTGCAGTTAAATAACGTTTTACAACAGTAACTCCTTTCTTTGCTTGTTCCCTCCTTTCCATTTGCTCCTTTCAAGCAGGTGTCCAGTTCCGGGGAGGTGGTAAGAGCCCGCAAGTCTCTCCGTTGTAGCCTAAAGGCAAGGAGCTAACACCTGGATTCCATGTATGGCAAATGGATGAGAGGAAGTTCTTATTCATAGCCAGAGTCCCAGAGGGGCCTGCGCAGGCCTCTGGAGACAGTGCACATGCCTCCGGGTGCACGGACCTCCGGGAGACCCACCCCTCCAACCGGCTGGCCTCAGGATGGCAGAGAAGCCTCTGGGGACAGCCAGGCCTGAAGAGGCAGGGACGGATCAGCAGCAACCACGAAGCACACAGCTGTCCTACTCGGACCTCTGCCGCACGGGGTCGCAGGGGCAGGGCGCCTCGCCTCAGAAGCTCTGAGGTGGGATTCTCTGCACTCCAGCCAAATGAGGGTTGGGAGAAGAGAAGCTTTAGAAAAAAGAAGCAGCCTTTCTGCCACTTCTGAGTGTTTAGACCGAGCCTGTTCCTTCTACAGGGATGATACGAGCTCACAGGTTCTGTGGGGATTGCTAGTAAGATTAACTGAGATATTATATAAAACGCCTGGCCCTGGGCTGGACCTTCATTTTCCCCTCACCACAGTGAACCTCACCCCACAGCCCTGATGGGGGTTAGAGCCTGGGCGTGGAGTCCGCTCATTCTAAACTTGGTTCTGCGTCTCACTGGCAAGTGAGCCATGTTCTCTGAGCCTCAGGTCCCTCATCTGTGAAAGGACAGAGCCGATTCTTATCCCCTGAGGTGACCCCTGTCAGAGGTGGCCCCTGTCAGAGGTGGCGGTGCTCCAGGGCAACAGCCCTTCCCCGAGGCTTCTCTCCCCTCCTCCCTGACCGCTACCTTCTGTGGTGAGGCCGTCCAAGAAGAGGGGGGAGGAGGTGGTGCTGACGCCTCCCTCGGAGGGGCTGAAGCTGTCAGGGGAAGCTGAGTAGTGGTCCTCGTCCTGGAAGTCCTCGCACGTCCTGCCCTCTGCCTGTAAGAGAGACGCGGGGATGCCCTGGACAGAGGCCTCGCCGATGGCGTGCCACACAGATGAGGAAGCGGGGGCACTTTCATCCCTCAGCGGCCAGAAAATTTAAGATGCTGGTGCACGGTCCAAGCATGGTGATCTAACCAAAGCAGTGCCTTGAATACCTTCAAGCCTTCCACTTTATCCTGAAAGCATCTTATCTTCCAGGGCAATTTGTCTGTCTACTGCTTCGAATCCTTCCTCAAGGAAGGAGATGAGATGCCAATTTTAAATAAATCGAGCAAATCTGTATGTTCACCAGCAGCCAACATCAGAAGTGGGCGGCTGGACAAGATTCTTTTAAGGCCAGAAAAAGACAGCTCACCCAGCCTTACTAATAAAGCAGACAGGGATGAGAGTCTGGGAGTGCGGTCTGGGGGTTCACGTTTAAATGCTGGGGCCCGGCATCTTCACCACCGCACCAACTGTGAGATGCAGGCCAAGTCATTAAACCTCTCTGAGCCTCAGTTTCCCACTCTGATCAGTGGGGGCACCGGCCCCCAGCTCCTGAGCTATGTTAGGGTTCAATCGGAGCAAGTGGAGGGCAGCATGCAATGAAGTGTGCGGGAACTGCAGGAAGAGACGGAGAGAGGGAAGGAGAGCAAAAGGACACGCGGGTCACACAGGTGTTAACATAAGGCGCGATGATAGGATGCTGCCCACCCAGGATCACAGTGCGGGGCCTTCTGGAAAATGTCCGTAGTGAGAAGGAACCCCTTAGGGGTTCTAAATGGGAGGAGCCTGGAACCCCACTTCTTACTTCCAGAACGACTGCCACCCTCAAAAGCCCGAAGGCTGGACTTGCAATCGCTTCACAAATGTCACCAGGGACGCAACTTGCCAGGGGATCCAAGTCCCAGGGCAATTTCACCAAGAGCCAAAGACACCTTGCGAAGAGCTGCCAGGCAAGGGGCCTGCTGTTAGCCTTCCTGTTTCCCACAGCCTGGCTCACAGCCCTCTCACCTCCTTGGCACAGTTGTAGGAGAGCCACTCCTGGCGGTAGCGGTCAAAGCCGCTGGAGCACCTGCGGGGGGAACCGAGGTCAGAGGTGTTGGGGGGAAGAGAGATAGGGAAGCCCTCCCCTTCATTTTCCCCGTGCAGCAAGGGCTCCCCCAACCCCGCCCGCCGTGGTAGTGAGGGCGGGGCTAGCCTCCCAGGGCTCGGGTGGTCAAGCTTCCTAAGGCCACTGGGCAGGTGCCCTCAGCACCAGGAAGCTGTGGAATGAAGAGTCACACCCTCCTGCCCCGTCTAGTCCTTTTGCAGGAGGAAGGGGTGCTGTTCATGAAATCCCCACCTTCCTTCTGGCCCAGCTCCCAAGGATCAAGGTGACAGCTGCCAGGGTGTGTGTGTAGGGGGCCAGATAAACCGTATGACCTCTATGACCTCTCAGGCCCCCTTGATTTGGGGCTGCCCCGAAATTGCTAAAAATACAGGGAATTCACACATGCGTTCTCATCTGGGGAAGACCTGTTCATTCACCAAGACCCCTTTTTTATGGGAGGGCCTGGACTTGGCAAGGAGAGGCTGGGTGAGGGTGGGCACCAGCGGGTTCAGCCAATGCCCCTGCGTGATCATTAAAGGGCAGAAACGAGGGTCCTGCCATGGGCTGGGGGACACTAAAAACAGGCTGGCCAGAGCTCCCCGGGACCCTGTGCAGCTTGGCTGGGCTGGAAAACGCCAAGTACTTCCCCAGGGAAGGGGTGGGGGCACAAGGAGGAACCAGCCAGGGTTCAGCCTGGCATCATGCTCAAATTTCCAATCTTCAGCCTTTGGTGCCAGGGGAATCCATCAAGCCCTACTCAAGTGCAAGGACACCTGCATGGGAAAAACAATATCACGCGCCACCACTATGGAGAAAGAATTCGTGGCTAGTTAACTTTAGCTAGCTCTGTACCAGCCCCCCTGCCTGAGACCTGGAGGGCGAGGCTTTCCAGGCACCGGCAGCCTTTTGCTCCAAAGAGATCTCTGAGCTGCTCCTCCCAGCAGAGCCATCCACCCTGCTCTCTCTCGGGTCCTCTGTGCCCATCACTGTGGGGGATGCAGGATTAGGGGCACTGTCGGGGGAGGGGAATTAAAGTTGCTTTTAGCCCACGATGATTCTTTCAAGGACTGAAGCTTCAATAGAGGTCTAAGAGCATCACATTCCAAGCCCTGAGCCAACCCCCCCAGATTCAAAGAAGAGAGGCATGAGAAGTGTCCATTTGTTTGAGTGCCTCCTGAATGCCAGGTGCTGCCCCAGGCACAAGCTGCTCCTGAACCATTTTACGGGACACTCCCAATGGCGTGGAAAGGCAAGGATTGGGCCCCTCGTTTCCTGAGCCAAATCCTGGAGTTAAGATCACCCTTAGACTCGGGAGTGGGGGCGGGCAATGTGAGATGACAGGAAAACACAAGGTGAATGAAATTGCCTAAATCCGATCTGGCCCCAGGGCAGGGAGGGGAAGCCCTGGGATGCTGCAGAGGGCCCAGCGGGTGGAGGAGAAAGGGTTTGCCAAGAGCGCATGTGGTGACCGCAGCAGCCGTGGGTGGGAGAGGGCATGGCGGCTGGCCCCAACGCACCAGCCCTGCCCTCTGACATTTTAGAGACCTGGATTCAGCTCTGAGTTGGAGCTGCGGCTCCAGAGAGCTGCCAAGGAGGGGCCCCCACTGGGGTGAGCCCAGGCCCACAGGCATCTGAGGACCAGAGGTTTCCAGAACCACGTCAGCGTTGAGCACTCTGATGAAGCTTCTCTGTCCTGCAGCTGACATTACCGCAGCAAAGGCAGTGTCCATGCCTGAGGCCCTGCCCTCCCCTAAGCTGACCAACCCTCAGTAACTGGTGCGGTCTCCTGCGTTGGGTATATGCATTAAACGAGCCTGCGTCAGTGCGAGGGTTTGCTTTCATCTGTCCCATTTTGCAGTTTTCATGGCCCAGCTGTCATTAGATGCTGAGTCATGCAGTGACAGGCAGCCCCAGGATTCCAGGGCTTATCTGAGGTCATCTGGATTATCTCCCCACGCTGAGCTGGTGGCTCTCAAACCTGAAGGTGCACAAGATGGACCACCACGCAAACCTCCACTCCCAAAACAACCAACCTGGGGTCTAGCCTACGTATACCCTCCCTGAGGCTCTGTGCCTTTCCTGTGAAGGGCTCTGAACACTTTGCAAAAAAGGCCATTTGGTATTTGAGGAGTTAAAATAACAGCGTGTTCCTCACCCATGTTTCTCTGAACCACACAACCCCAGCCCATTTTACAGGGAAAGCAAACTGAGTGAGTAAGAGCTGTGGGAGGAACAACTGGGAGGCCTGATGAGGCTCCCTCTCCCCTCCCGGCCTGGAGCTGTGTCCTGTGTGCTAGGCAGGCCGCCTGTAAAGGCGAAAGCTTCTATTTCAACACCGGGATATTGGAAAGGAGTAAAGGAAACACTGACAGATGCGTGACAGCTGCAGGGAACTCAGGGACTCCATAATTTCCAATTCTTAAGATCGCCTGAAGGGCTCCTAGAGGTCACAGAGCATCCCACTCTCATGAGAGACCTAGCCCCCAAAGAAATTATTATTTTCTTCTTTCTGCCATTTACTGATCTTGGATAGGAGAACAGAGCTCAGCTTCTTAGTCTAATCTGTGAGGAAATGATTTCAGAACAAGGAGTGGGAAGATGAGCTGGGTTTAAGAACTTTATCCCTGAACCTGCATCTCATCCAGAATTTTCTCTGCTTCTAAAACCAAGTAAACATAGCTTCGTTGGCCCCAACTTTCCACAGATGCCTGACATTTCCACGCCCCTGGATTTCAGGAAACCGTGCTGCAGCCTGGGAAAGATCTTGAAGTGCAGTTTTGGGGTCACGAGGCTCTTACCCAACAGCAATGGGTCTTTGGGTCATCCCCAGTCTCTGAGCTGGCAGATGTCACGCTTGTGCACAGATGAGGCACAGTGTTGAAATGCAGGATTCTGGGCTTCTCTCCCAGAGATCCTGATGCAGGGGCCTGGGCACGTCCCAGGAATCTGTGAGCCTTAGCTGATTCTGGAAGCTTGCAAACGATGGACCTCTCTGAGAAGCCCTGCCCTAGGATGGACTAACGCTTTCCAGGTGTGAGGAGGGAGCTGCAGTGGCTGGAATCTCTAGGAGCCTTATGTCATAGGGATCCTGCCACGCAGTCACCTTGATTGGCCACAAGCCTCGGGGAGTAGCTCACTGTTGTGACCTTCTTGTCTTAGGGGTCAGAGCAGACTGGCCAGAGATATCTTCCTCTTGGCAATGAGGCCCGACGCAAGGCGTGGGGCCGCGTGCCACCCTCTGCCCCTCCTCCACGGTCTGCCTGCGGGAACCAGGGGGTCCGTCTGGGCACAAACCTCTGAAGGACATGGCACCAGCTGCAGTTGAAGGTCAGGTCCGAGGACACGCAGGCGTCGCAGCTCCGATGCTGCAGGCAGGCTGCAAGAGAGATGGCAGTGGCCCCTGAACACCAGGCCCCCACAGGACCCCAAAATGTGCAACTTCCTGAATGCTGAGTCCTTACTGAACTATGTAGCCTCTGACTAGCAGGGACCCTTGAAGTCACCACTACCACCTTCACTTGAGCCTGGCCCCGATTCCTCCGTCTCTCTCTTCCTCCCCCCACCCCACCTTCCTTCCTTCTTTCTGTCTCCTGAGGGGTCAGACCCTGAGCTGGTGCTGGGGATTCAGCAGTAAGGCCCCGTCCCTGCCTTCTCAGGCCTTGTGGTCATATGGGGAGACAGACACTAAACAGATAATCAAACAAAGACAAGCACATGATTATTATTTTTGATGAGGTCTGTGAAGGAGAATTATAGGTGCTGTAAGCATGTACAAAGGGATCTCACCTAGTCTGGGAAGTTATACTCCAGGCTGTTGCTTATAATTACAGGGTTGAAAGAGATTTTTTTTTTTTAATTGAACTACATTTAACACATACTGAGTAAGTTTAAGGTGTACAACATATTGATTCGATACATTTATATTGTGATATGATTGCCATTGCAGCTAACACCTCTAGTATGTCACAGAATTTCATTTTTTCATGTGGTGGGAACAATGAAAATCTAGTCTCTTAGCAAGTTTACTGTTTATAATACAGTTTTGTGTCTATAGCCACCGAAACGATTTTTTAAAGATGTCCTGGTTTGACCCCCACGCAGAGCTGGCCAGGAGCACTCGGTCCCGGTGAAGGGACTGTCTCAGGGTCCTGTTCCTGGCCTCTTTCCACCTCCTCACTGGCCTCCTCCCAGGGAAGTCTGAGTGTCCCGTTGTGAGGATAAACCAGACACATCATTCCATTCAGGCTTCGTCTGCTCCCCTTGGAAGTGGGCTACCCCAGAGGCCGTTCTGGCAACTCTGCGCACCCAGGCTTAAATCTTACTTGGGAAGTTACTTAACCTCTCGGTGCCTCGGTACCTCACTTACACAGGCGGGACCACGATGCTATCTGCCTGGCAGGTCGGCTGAGAGGGTGATATGAGATAATACCTAGAGAGGGTTTAGAATAATGCTGGCCATGTGGTGAGCCCAGTGAATGCTATTTGTTGTCACTGACTGTGGTTTTATTCATTCCTCTCAATATTCCTATCGGGTATTCATTCACTCATCCATCATCCATTCATTCTTTAAATGAATATTTACTGAGCACCTGACATGGGCCAGACACTGCCTCAGGTGCTGGTGATTCAGTGGTGAACAGGAAAAGACAGCAGCGCTGCCCGCACCGAGCCCGCAGTCTAATGGAGGAGACCACTAATGCACATGCAGGCAGACAAGTCTACGCTGGGCTGCTCGTGGTGAGAAGGGCTGTGGAAAAAATACAGCGGAACAGGGAGGCCCTAAGGCCATGGGGATGTGTTCTATTCAGGGAGGCTGGGGAAGGCCTCCAAGGAGAGGAGGCTGGGGCAGAGATGGAGGGAAGGGAGGGAGCAAGCCGGCAGAGCTCCCAGGGGAGAGGTGCGAGCAGAAGCGCAGAGGCCTGGCAGGAACATGCCCCAGGCGTGTTCTCAGCAGCAGCCAGAGCACACCAGCCGGGCAGAGTGGAGAGGCAGGCGCCCCCGGGCAGGGTAGAGTGGAGAGCAGAGAAGTTGGTGGCAGAGGCTGCTGGAGGCTGTGTGGACCCCGCTGGCCCCAGCCGGGCGGAGGCGCAGAGAGGGCCGGCGGAGCAGGAGGTGCAGAGGCTGGATTTTAGGAGTTGTTCACTTGCGGTGGAATGCCGCCCTCTTAAGTGAACCAGAATGTCCTCTGAGTGGCAACCAGCTGCCGCAAAGCCCGTGCATTTTACTACAAGGCGAGACGGGCCCTCACGCGGCAAAGCTGCCATAGAAGGGCTCACCTGATGAGCAGCTGAACAGGGCATGTCGAGAGCAGTAAGAGGTGACAACTAACTACAGAAAAACAACCACTTGTTCAATAAACACACACATTTCTTCATTATGTGAGTTTTCATGGGACTCTACCACAGCTCATTAATTAGGGAACGAATTTGTATCCCATGGACCCCAACAAGATGGAAGCTGGGAACCAGCCCTGGGTGAGTGGGAGAACAGCACAGAGTAGTCACCTTTGGACGCTTTGTTGGGGGGGGGGTGCTGGCTGCAGGTGGCACCATGCCCTTTTGTCTGCCAGGTCTCTGCAGGCCTGGAAGGGTGGATGGAGGGCCATGGGCAGAAATGGCCTGGCCGAGGATGAGAGCTCTGGCTGTTTCGTTCCCTTATGTATCCAGGGGGCCTAGAACAGTGCCCAGCATGTGGGAAGCGTTCACATGTTCACTGAATTGCTATAGAGATGTTTTTGTTATCCTCATGGTACAGAAGAGGGAACTCAGACAGTCACTGAGCTGGTCTGAGTGTGAACCAAGGTCTGAGCAGAGGGCCTGAGCCCTCAGCCTGCGTGGGGTCCCTCTACCCCAGCACCCACTCTCACCCCGCACTACGTTTTCATGAGTCTCTTCTAGAAGAGGGACCAGCCACGGAGTGCAATGGCTTGGGGATGGCCCACCCACACCTTCGGAAGAATCTTGGATAAAACCTCCCCCACCCAAAGGCAAGGGAGAGAGCCTGGGCTGGGCGATGCAGAGTTTTCAGAGGACAGAGCTGATTGGCCTCCCAGAGGCTCCAATCACAGCCTTGGTAGCACTGTCCCCTCCTGTATCAGCTGCACCCCCCTCCCCCCGGGAGCCCATGGCCTGGTCACTCCCAGTGACTCTGGAGGCCCCTAAATGGCTCTAGTTAAACCGAAATCAGACCCTGGGAGCCTCATGGGGTGTTCATAAAACCCACTGACCTTTATTTCTCATCTGCATTTCAGATGTTCTGCATGCTTTTAAATGCTCACAAAATTCACTGGAGGGGTGGGAAGTGGCTTGGATGTGCAAACGGTGTCCCAGAAACTCATTCCCAGGACAGTTCGCGTCTTCCGCCCGGGGAAGTGAGCCCTGTCCTTGGATGTCCTTGCTCCTACATGAAGTTTTACTCAAGCCCTAAGGATCTGAGGTTCGCTCTCACCAGTTCTTGAGAAACCACTGTTTCTCAGGCCCCAGGCCTCTCTTGCCCAGGGGGAGGGTGGTCGGGGAGGGGGCAGGGCTGAGACCTGCAAGTTGTCCTAACCCCCATGGCCCCCGTGGTGGCTGGGGCTCTCCTCTTTTCCAGAGGAGGACACCTGCTGAGGCCAGACTAAGACAGTGGCTTAACATCCGAGAAACCTCCTCTGCTTCTTTTCCCACCCCTGGCTCCCAGAACCTCCAGGGAAGAGGAAAAGGTGGGGGTGGGGGGGAGCAGGCGGGAACCATCCCAGAGGGCAGGGAAAAGGTCATGGTTTCAGAAGCTGGGAGCCACCGTGAGACAGAAGATGAAATCAAAACCCTCTTTAGAAAATAAAAGAATTGGAGTGTGGTCCTCCTTTCCGTCAGTCTCCCCAGCTGCCCTGGCCAGATTCTGAAGAGCATCCGACCCTGATCCGGTGGGGTCCACAGCAACAGCAAGGCCTTGGCCACCGTGTGCCTTCAACTGCAGGCACCGGGAAGGGAGAGCGCTCGGCCCGCGGTTCTTGGAGAGCTGCTGGCTCAGTCCTTCTACGGCCCTCTGCCTGTGGGCTCTAGCCTCCCCTCCCCCTAAGGCAAGTACAAGGGTAAACTATGGATCAATGAGTTCCATTCCTGGTTATTTTTCCTGGGGCTCGGTCTTCGTTCTCAGAGGTACCTCTTTCCGGAGTTTCAATTATGTGTTAGTAACAATAGCTGTCGTCTGTCAAGCACAACCATACCGCAGCTCTGAGAAGTGCCAGTTAGTGTCAGAGCTGACATTTATGTCCTCAGTGCTCCCACTGCAGTTCTAACCCTGATCAAAGCTCTGGGAGGGAGGTGGCGGAAGGCCCATGTGACAAATGAGACAGGGAGGCCCAGAGGCGTTAGGTGGCCACACCCACACAGGGGCCAGTGGTGGGCCTGGGAGTGGCACTCAGTCTTTTTGACTCCAAAGCTCTTTCTAGGACACGACTGTCCTAAGGCTCCTTCCCCTGTCGGTGGGAACCACCCCCACTTACTTGGCAATGGGGTGAACTCCACAGCCGACCTGCTGGTGACCTTGCTGGGGTCCAGCTCCACGCGGTGGTATTCAAAGATGGCCCTCCGCCGGGATTCTGAAACAGAGGCAGAGCCTGTGGTCAGGAAGCTCTCGTGGGCACAGGGCTCTGGGGCCTGTACCCAGAGCCTGGTGGTGGGCAAGAGATTGGAGTGACTGGAACTGAGGGCGAGAAACCCACTAACTGGGATAACGGTGCTGATGCCGCGGGGAGACGGGAGGACAGGAGTTGACCTTGGGAGAGCTTTGTGCTATGAGCAGGTTTAAGGACTCAATGCAGCGGCCTGGCTGCTCCCGGGGTCAGGACATAGGCGATCCCACGCTCCTGCACGTCTCTGTGTCTACACAGCTGCTGCTCCTTTGACCCATAATGCATTTCCATCCTTCTCTCCCTGTCAAGCTCACTCTTCTACCCCAGCTCAAGGGCCACTTCCCCTGACAACCCCCCTTGACGACGCCCCCCCGCCACTCAGGCCAGATGCCTTCCTCCCACTGCACCCACCATGCTGAGTGGCCACTAGACTTTACTTGGAGGGTGGGGGGCATTAGACTGTGAGCATCTGGTTCTGAACCTGACCCAGAGTGAGCGCTCTGCACACATCTGTGGATGGACAGGCTGACTCTGAAGAACCTCTTCCCTCCGGGATGGAGGCCAGAGTGAGGTTCGGGGCCTGGAGCCAGGCTCATGTCCTGCCTTAGCCCCTGCAGAAGCTTCCTCCAGGACCTCAGGGCCAGGAAAGCCAAGTTCTGATTTGAGTTCTATTCCCGACTCACTGGACAAACTTAGGGCCTCAGTTTATTGTCTGTAAAGTGGAAAGACAAAAACATCTGCTACAATACTCTTTGGAGAAGATAACTGGAATTGCAGATGAAAAGACTTTTTCTAAAATGGCAATCTGAGATGCTCTAATATTCCTTCCCACAGCCCCATTCTCACGCAAGAACCATGACTTTGGGGTTGGTTTTGCTTGCCTCTGAAAAGCAGGCAGCCAGCCACTGGGCTCTGTAAATGAGTTCCCTATGAGGGGAAAGGGCCACTTAGTGTTTGGTCGGCTGAGCACCCCTTCTTCTGGACTGCTTCCTCATTTCCCTTTGGGGAAACGGCCCCTGGCCCCTTCCTACATGTGGTCTGCAGGAGCTGCCATCTTCCTCATGACCCTGCCTCCCTGGCCACACAGTGATTGGTCCAGGGCTGAGAATCTGAGGGAAGCTGAACCAATCAGAGTCCTTCGCCGGGACTTTTCAACTGTAACCAAGAGGCCCTTTGCTCTCTAGTAGTGAAGCTAAGATGCAAGCTTGGAATCCCTGAATGGCCACTGTTCTGAGCTCCAAGCTCATGGGGAAGGCCTGAGAATGAGGAAGTACTGATGGCACCCCAGGCTCTGGAGACACAGGTCCTGCCCTGGCCCTTGCCTTACCAGTTGTCAGCTCTCTTTTGTCTCTAGGGTCTATTTCAGTATCCTCAGTTTAGTCCTTTTTTCACATAAGCTAGTTTGAGTTGGGTTTTTGTCACTAGAAGCTCAGAGTAGGCGAGGATATAATTTTCTCATTCAGCTGAAGGTGCTTTGGAAAAAAGTTCCCCAACGCAGCACTCAGTTGAGGAACCCACGAAAGAGAGGGTGTCCTGTGCAACTGCTGGGTGCCCCATCCCCTGCTCCCCTCTTTTATGAAGAATTTGGGTGGGGGGGCATCTGCTGCTTAAAAGAATATCTCATCTATGTTTCTTTCATTTATTTATTCCCCAGTCTTGGAATTGTTCCCACCTACTCAACTCAGGATTGGACCCTGGGTGGGGTGGGGCCAAAGCGAGCTCCCCCACCCCCACTACACTGCCCCGCTGCAGAGTAACGGCGGACACTTCAGCCCCTGAAACACTCGAGACCGCAGAACGTCCTTGAAGCACATTCCATGCAATGGAAAGGGAACTGCTCTGGCATTGAGGCCTGCAGAGCTCCCCTGGAACTAAACAGGAATCCGCAGCCCCCGCTCAGAGGCCTGTGCCTGACATGCCGGCACGACCCACTCACGTGTCACTAGGACAGTCTGTCTGTCAGCCATGGTCAGGGTCTGCTCTGGGCCAGGGCAAAGAAGGTGTAGAGACGGACAAGACCATGGAGGAGGAGAAGCCCTGCAGCAGGAGAGGGACCACACGGGCAGGGGAGGTGTAGGCTCTGCCCTTACCATCTGTGCAACCTTGGACAAGGGGCGAAGCTGAGTGAACCGCATCCAGAGATGGAACTAGTTATTCTATGCTTACAGGGTTGTTCTGAGAATTAGAGTAGGCACAGTACCTGGACCAGAGGAGCCACTTGGAGTATGAGAGTCCCTCTTTCTTCTCACCACTCACTCCCTTTGTGTGTTTGGTCTTCTTGTGACTAAAATTCTGGGGCATTTTCAGTCTCTCCCAATCCCTCAAACTCTACTCTGGCCAAAGAACATGAGGAAAAAGGATGGCACATTTCTTTCGCTCCCTCCCTCCCACAACGACCCCATAGCAGATTTCTTATCCGTGATTTTTGAGCGGGTCCCTCAGTACCTCAGCAGCTCCTGAGGATGCTGTGGATGGAGTGACCCCCTGAGAGGCAGCCTGACCACGGGGCTGTGCCGGCAACCGGGACATCCCGGTTGCCCCATCTTCTCCCTGCCTCCCTCCCTCCCTCAAGGGCCGTCCCTCCACTGCCCACCGCGGGCCTCTCCCTTCCCCGCTGTTGGTTCCCAAGGTCCAGCCTGCTTGCTTCTCCTCCTGTGGGGACCATCCCTCCACCCATGTCTTCCTGGTCCAGATTGGCTACTGTTTGCTTTCAGAGATCGAGGGGACAGGAGAAGTGGGGGAAGATCAATGCTCAGTGGCGACTAAGCCTTGGCCATCTCCCAGGCCACCTCCGAGAGGACTTACCTCAGAGTCGCTCTCCCCTCCCCCGCCTACTGGCTCCCGTGAGAGGGGCAGTGAGAGGACTTCGGCCTTAGCCTTCATTTCCTGCCAGGGATGATGACCCCAAGGAACCCTTCCACCTGGACCCCTGGATCGGAGCTGGACAGTTTATAATGAGATCCAGGCCTCCTCCTGCTTTTTTCTCTCCCTTCCTTTTCAGGCAGATCAGAGGGACTTGCTGCTTCTAAGGAACCCAGCTGGAAAGGGTGGGTGGGAGGAGGGGTCCGGGCACTCCTGGAGGGTGTCCAGAGGGCGCCCAGTGTGGGCTACCTGAGTGATGGGATGGGCCACTGCTTCAGAGACTCAGACATATCAAGTTGAGAGCTGCAGTGACAAGCTGTCTTGCCATTCATTTCACAGTAGGGAAACTGAGGCCCAGGGAGATTAACCCATGGACTGATAAAAGTTGGAATGACACATTACAATTTACCAAACCTACCCGCAGCCTTAAATGGAAAAAGAACTACTTAAACAGGAGAACGCACACAGAGGCGAAGCACCACCACGTCCCACGTTCATTCACTCGTTCTATACTCAGAGCGGACCTGCTCTGCCCCAGGGGGCGGTGCTAAGTCCTGAGCACTCCGCGATGTGCAGGAAAGACCTGGCCCTGCCCCCATGGGGCTCACATGGTCGGAGGGCACCTGGGTCTGACTCCTCGCACTTGCTCTCACAACTTTCTGAGATACACACACAGACATCACTGTTCTCCCCTTTTCACAAAGGAAGAAAGTGAGACCAAACAGGGGACTCATTTGCCCAAAGACACACAGTTGTTATTTGTTTGTGTTTGCAGAGCCCAGACTTAAAACTCAAGCCCCGATGCCAGGGCAGCTCCAGAAAGTCACCAAGGTGTGTGTAGAAAAATGTTGTCAACTCTTGGCTGCTGGAAGGGGTAGGGGGAGAGGTGGAGGCAGGGTAGGGGCCTCACTTGTAGCACTTGCCAATTTTTGTGGCAAAATGGTGGATTTCAAGTGACCAATCTGGAGTCACTGAGCACAGAACCGGGAACAGGTAAGATCCAGCTGTTCTTCTGCAAGCGTCTCCAGCACATCACTGTTTATAGCTGTGTTTTTAAAAGACTCCAAAGGAAATGTTTACAATTTTTTAAAAAATCATTAAGCCAGTGTCCCAAAGACTTAGTATTTGTGTATTTATTTTCTCCCAAACAACCCTAAGTCTGAGAAAAAAGAGGCCCAACAGACAAACCGCAAACCTACGAGGCAGTGACCAGCTGAGGTCCACAGGGTCAGCGAGGCACTGGCGGGGAGAGGGCGGCCCCTTATCAGAAGCTGAATGGGGCTCCCAGAGCCCTGAATCACGTGCACAGACACACACACAACAGGTTTTGTTGTTGTTTTTTTTTTATACAAGAAAGGCCCCTTGTCAAGAGTGAATGGGGTCTGAGGTCGGGGCAAGGAAGGGCACCTTGCCGTAATGCACCTGCCCAGGGGAGGCAGCGGTTTCCAGTGTGCACGAAGGTCCTTCCTGCGTGACACTAACTGCCATGAGAAGGTGGCCTGGGCTTTAAGTGACCCTGAGGGATGCAAGACAGGTAGGGGGAGGATGAGGAAGTTCCAGGCAGCCGTTCACAGCTCCGTCCCACCCTCTACCAGGAGCCACGTCTCCTAAAAAACCACCCCTTCCAGCATCGAAATATAATAGAAAAAATAAATGTGAAACCCCACATCTTCCATGGTGCCTGAGGCCATGGGGTCTAGAGTCTATGTAAACTTTTCTTCCTTTATCTGCCCCATCCTTCAGGGCTCAGCTCAAAGGACATGCTTTCCTTGAGAACGGTCCTCCACCCTCAGGAGCAGTTAGTGGCCCCTCCTCTGAGTTCGATGGTTCTCTGTGCAGTGCCCAGTGTCACCTGTTAAGTGTAACACCAATATTTACTTTGCTGGCCACCTGCCCCACCAGGCTACAAACTCCCCAAGGGCGGAGCCTGAAAGCTATTTGCCTCTGTGCCGCACCCGCAGGCACCAGGCCCTGCACATAACAGGGCCCCAAGAAATGACTGAATGAATGAATGGGTTACAAATAGTCATGAAAACCTCAGCAACATATTATAACTTCAGCCCACAGCCCAAGGGAAGAACGCCCTTCCTCCCCAGCCCACGACA